TATATATATACCATCACCACACATATATAATTATATGGCTAAATATACACATATATGCATATATATTTACATATGTGTGTATACTTACATATATTTATGTATATGTGTGTTGGTATTTATATATATATATATATATGTATATATAGATATGTACATATACATATACATATGTGTGTGTGTGTGTGATATTTATGTTTCCACTAAAATACTACACAAAAGAACTACTGCACAAACTACTCACTCACAAAACCAAACCAGTTGCATTTTATTATTAACACATACGTAGTTTCACTATGTCATGGAAAAACTCCCCCCTCCTCTCCTCTCCCCTCTCTTCCCATCACCGCCTCCTTTAGGGTCTCTCTCCTTTTTTGCTAAAAGCATCAAAATTGGCTACTATTATCGGCTATTTGGTGGACACTGATTTGTTTACCAGAACTACTGACCAGGTGTTGATGCCAGTCATTGAGCGAGGCCCCTGTGATAAAGTCGGCGAGATGAAAGCCTCAGCGTTTTGGAGGGGAGAAATAGCTGAGAAGCAACGAAAATTAAGAGCGGGAATCTTCAAAGAGACGATTCGGTGAAAAGCTTTCTCAAAGTCTTGCATCCTCCTACTTAAGCAGTTCCGCCGCTCAGGATGTGACAAAACTGTCACATCACAAGTCGAGCCGTGTAGGAGGACCGGGGACCTCTGCACACATTTAAGCAGTGCAAACACTAAGCACCAGGCATAATTGCCTTGGTAGCACTCAGCGCCGGCTTTGAGACATCTGTCCGTCCTCTGATCAGCTTCCTCCTCGGCCACATCGTGTTCCATCTACAAATCAAAAGTCAGCACTGATGTGATTTGCGGTGCGCCGACAGGTTTGACAAAACCGACAAATCAGCCAGTCATTACTTGGACCCCACCTGCTAATTTGGCATACACATTAAGGTTGTGGTCTCTTGGGTGTAAAAAGGGAAAGAAAAGATGCGCTCTTCAGGAAAGCAGGGATTATTAGGAGTGATTTGGTTTGTGTATTCTCTAAAACACAGCTTTAATGACTGGGAGCAGGAGCAGGAGTGTGACAAAAACAGACTAATTTCAAAGTTGGACAACACAAGGAAAATAATCTCTGCTCCACCATATGTTTTCATCTACACTTGAATTTTGAGAAGCACTACTTCAGAGCTGATCTGCTGAGAAAAACTAACGACAACACAGACACGTTGTTCTGTGACAGTTTTCCAACAACTGTGCGATTGTCAGTCAGAACAAACACAAAATTTGCCGGAACCTGTGAAGACGTTCAGACAGAATGAGATCAAAGAGACGTTGGTGTAAAAAGTGACGCTGGTGGATTGTTTTTTTCCGAAATAACTTTATGCGATCGTTAGTGCGGAGGTTCCCAAAATGGGAACCTCCGCGAGCCCACCTGGGGCGTCACGAGCTGCTGCAAAGGAGACTTTAGTTTATTGTAGTGTATTTAATGTCACAGATGTGTAATTATATCTGGGTTGTTTATATGCTACTACTACAGTCATGGACTTTTCATGAATTTTCCAAAAGCCCAATTTTGGTGGACGACATCATCCCCGGCCGTTTGGGTACGTGTAGAGAAGAAGGAAAGAAAGTGCAGCGAAATGGAGGACAGAACTTTCTCACCATTTTCAGAAGGATTGATGATCCAAACCAGGACTGAAGGCCTGGAGTTGAGAGAGAGAGAGAGAGAACTTGAAAATCCTTCTCTCCCTGAATGTAGACCTTCATAAACAATGTCGTCTGTAGAAGTGGAGAGAGTTTTTTTTTTTATGAAGATAAACATGAATGTTTTAATGATTTTCTTTTTGATTAGAAATTATCTAAGCGAGATAATTTCAGTGTTTATGTTTTCCTTCTTTATTGCGCAGTTGTAAAATCTTGATATATAAGTTAATTTCCTTAAATCTAAAAGTAGTCGAGAAGTTATGAAGCAACAGCTAGTGCTGGTTACAAAGAGAGAGGTGGGGGGGGGGGCGAGGGGTTCTGGCTGGGAGAACACCTTTGTTGTAAGTGTTAGATTAATAAATGTGGGGTTATTCTGTGGTCAGAGATGGAATAACAACAGCAACAACAACAACACTGACTATTGATTCCATAGAGAAAATTAAAATAGCTTTTCATCTGGAAGAGAGGCCTGAAGGCTTTATTTTACAGTTAATGAAAATCCTGATGTTGCCATTTCACAATGGTGCACTCCTAAAAGCCTTATAATTTATTCCACTCGTATGTTTCAATTGTCATTCAGAGTCATTGAAGGTGGCGCCACTCAAGGCAGGTGCAGTGAAGGAGTGGGCTACAGTGGTCTTATCTGAACCACTGTACAGAATATACATAAACATATATATGTATTTTTCCAACGTGTTTCCCCAATAGCAATATATATATATATATAGTACTATATGTACATACATATATACACACATACACATGTATAAACTGTATGTGTAAATGTATGTATTTAGAGTATGTATGTATGAGTGTATATATGTATGTACATATATGTGTATGTATGTATGTATATGTATTTATATATTTATACATATATATTCAGAACATATATACTCTTAATATACATACATATATAAATATATATATATATATATTCTGAACAGTGTCTCAGATAAATGTATCTATATACTGTAAATATATATGTACATATATGCGTATGTATATGTATTTATATATTTATATATATATTCAGAACATATATACTGTTAATATACATACATATATATGTATATATTATTTTTATTATTTTTTTGACATTCCCATCTTTAAGGAAGACCTGGACATAACATGTCATGTCTATATTTAGCTTGTTACATAAGCTAAATATTAATACTTGGAGAAAATTGCAGCCGAATGGTTCAAATGATTCACTATTATTATGACGATATTACGGCCATTGTGTCACTTACAAAAAAAAGTCTCATTGTGTCACTTCAAAAAAAAAAAAAGACTCTCATCCAGTAAATAAAATATTCCATATATTAGTCACAGTATTAAAACACCACATAAAAGTATTCTTTACAGTATTTAAAAACCAATATA